GGCCCTGCACTTCCAGGTGAGAGATGGTGGTGTGGAACATTGTAGCAATGGCATCTTCAGTTGATCTGTTAGCTCTGTATGTGAACTACTATGAAACTCAGTGAAAAAACTATGAAGAAACCATGAACACTGAGTAACTATGAAACACAGTGAAGACAAAAACCTATGACACTCTATGACTGAGGGATAACAGTCAACGCGACGCTGAACACAGCAAGACTGAGCACTTAAATACACACATGAGGTGATCAAGGGAAGTGGAGACACATGAGGACACAGCTGACTAGAATCAAACATAATAACAACACAGGGGAGAGAAAAATTAACCACATGAACCCAGAACACACAATCTACTTCAAAATAAAACAAGAAACTAGACATGACAACACTAAGCTGACAGACCTAAAACACATGATAAATTAGACAAGAATCCAAACATTGAAGCCAAGGAAACAATAAATAATGTTTCAGAGGCCCAGGCTGTGACAGTATGGAGCTAGCGACACATTTCCAGCTTGCATTAAATTCTGTTAGTAGGAAGGAGCACAGAGCTGAGCTTCCGCCTGCTACCTGGCGCTGGCGGGTGGGTGGAGCTACGAAGTATGCTATAGCTTTGCTGTCGGAGCTGCGATGTGTTTGGAAGTGTGGGTTCAGCGCTGATGTCCGTCGGCTTTCCGGCTAACTCGCCGGCACACTGCACCTTCTGCAGAGATGTATTCCACCTGTGTGCAGTTCCTCCACTCTTGTACATCACCCTATGTTCCTCCCTCTTCCTTAAATGTGTTGTTCCTGCAGCCATTTTCATCCTTTTTGCTAAATCCACTACTATGTGTCCTTCTGCTGTTCTCTCCTTAAAACCATACCTACCCAACACCTCCTCATCTCCTCTGTTAGCTTCACTTACATCTCTTCTCAAGTCCACATCCCCCCTCCTGGGTACACTCAATTCCTCTATTTCTTTTCTAACTGACATCCAACCTGAGGAGTGTATGCACAGACATTCAATGTCACCAGCTTCAAACTCACACACTACATCTACCTACATTCGTTTCATCACTCTCACCTCCACACTCCTGCTTTTTCTTCTCTAACACTGCATCCTACCAGAACTTCCCGCTATTCCCTTCCTTTGTCTTCCTATAACAGCAGCACAGTTTTCATTGTGGCGGGGTTCTATAGAAGTTTTTCCCCTTAATAAAGAAAATAATCCTTTTAAAAACACATTTGTGTATTTACTCAGGTTATCTCTGTGTGACAAATATGCAAAAAAAACCCTCCAAGAAATCAGGAAGTGGAAAATAGTTTTTCAACAACCCTCCACAGTTCGAAGAACCGCAACTTTCCATTTTTTAATTTTTGTTTGTGCATGCAAATTGTGACGTAAGAACCAGCAGTTGACCTGGTACACCATAGTCAGAAGAGACTAAAAGAAGAAAAAGAAACCACTTGTCTTGCTCAATCTATTGGTTAAACCAACCAGACTAGCAGACACAGAAAATAAAGACACAACAGAAACATTTCATCTGTGCTGTACCTGAGAGAACGCGTTAACTGTTGGGATGGTTTATGTTGGGAGTATGACTTGAAATAACATCATTTGAATGTCATTTTTATTCTGCTGAGAAGTTAAGCAAATGTTCCAATGAACATTTGCCTCGATGCAAAGCTGTTTGTTCAGACATTTGCTTCAACTTCATGAGGAAGCTTAAGGCATTTTCTATGAAATGCTCATCCTTGCTAATCTGCTTATTTAACAAATACCATAAAACGTGCGTATTTTCTTCATCCTGCAAACAGTGTCTGTGCCATCATCTGTCTTGACCCATACAACCAGCCTGTCCGCGGGGCCCCCTGTCATCTTGTAGAAGAACTGCAGACACTGAAGCTTCCTCTTGGGGTAGAGGATTCGAGGTTCCAGCATAGCAGACTCCTGAGGCTCCCCAGTCATAGTGTTGAAGTGCATGAAGTATCCAGCATCTAAAAAAACAAATAAATATAAGACAATCTATAATAATGTTTAATTCCCTCTGAAATTACAGTAAACATGAAGAGACATTATTCAGACCTCTGCATTGCCCCAGGAGTGTGTGATCCAGTGTGCCTGCAGAGCTCTGAGTGTAGACACACTTCACATCATCAGAGGCCTGGATCATCCCACAAATGCTTGCATACTCAAAGGTACACTGATCCAGCAGGGTGAGCGGCCCGGCTGTATGAGAATGAGAGGAGGGGTATGCACATAGGAATGTGTTTTACACAGTCCTATAGCTGTCAGATTTTAAAAAAAAAAGTCGACTTATTGAAGCCCAGTGTGACAACATATACATACAGCAGTTGCACATCCTGGTGAGCCTGAGGGTGTCCATCTTGCTGAAATCAAGGTACTGGCCAATAAAATTGTAGAACTCTGGGATTTTGGTGGTGATAGTGGGGATGGATTCATTCTTGTTGGAGGAGAAGTGCCTGTAGTGCATGACGGACTCATAGTCGTATGCAGTGTTTTGATCAGTGATGAAGTCGTCATTGTATTTGTTGAAGTTATGTGGAAGTCCTGCAGGAAATGTTCTCTTATTTAATAAATGTTATCATAAAAAAGCAATCATAAATAACTGTACATTTGACACTTCAATTATGTGTCACAATACAATGCATCATAGCATTACACTATAATGATCGTAGCATGTATGTTTGCGTGTTCCCTGCCTCTTGTGCACAGCACAGGGTTTGCTAGTGTAACTATCTATGCAGCAGTACACTTTATCCTAATATTTTTTTGAGTCAATTTCTACATAGAAAATGGCTGAAAAGAATGAAAGAACTACATATACCTGACGTAACCTGGTCCAGCCAGATGTTGTCCATGCGGGACTGTTCACGGTAAAATCCCAGAGCATGGAGCAGCAAGTGGCGTGTCCAGCGGGGTGGCCTGGGGGGGCACAGGCCACCCCCCCAACCAGACTGGCCACCCCAGGTGCCACCCCGAAGCTAAAACAATAAAATTTAATGAAATATCAAATGTACGATTATGGTTTCACAGTGAAGCTCAGATATCCGAGGGTAAGTGAATGCAGCACCGGCTTCTGCATCATGTTAGCAAAGGTAGGAGAGCCAAGCACGAAAGACGGCACCGCAGAAAACATTTTTTCGGCGAAAGGTTAACAAGTTAACATAGCTGGACTAGCCGTCGGACATTTGCACGGTGGGCTGATGACTTATTTATTTATTTTTTGCATGAACAATGAGAGGTGGTGGATTGGCCAGATGCTGGCCGATGTGTAAAATTAACTCAGTTGTTTGACTTGCAGTCAAGCCAGCCTCCAGTTTGTTTTACGTTCCCTGTGTATCCCTGCCTCACCTTCCCTCATCCACCTGTTGCCTCTGTGGAAGCTCCGCCATAGCCACCACCATACAACACTTGTGTCAAGCCAGCCTCCAATTCGAGACTTGCAGTCAAGCCAGCCTCCAGTTTGTTTTACGTTCCCTGTGTATTCAAAGTATTACGGGAATGGATGTGGAAACCGGATTTCAAAATAAAAGCCAACTTCGAGTGAATTAACAGATATGTTAAGAACATAATAACATATAATTTAGGCTTCTTTTTTGTTTTACAAACTCTAATGTTAGATCTATATGACACAGCCTTGTACCCTAATTGTGCCCTGTCACTATCAAGGCCATCTTATTTTGGATTTCAAAGTAAAAGCCCTGTGAATCTTCATTTTTGAACTGCTCTTTCAATGACTTAATAATGCTCTTAAAAGCAAAAGTCGTATTTCCAAATACCATTTGGACTTTATATCAACACTTTCCAACCACAATCTTTTTCACAGTGATACCATATCAATATCAAGTCAGTCTGATTTTGCCTTTCATAGTAATGGCCCTTTGAAATTGCCAATATTTGACTTAATCTTCTAACGATTCAAAATTCTCTAAAATGAAAAATTCTTGTTTCCACACCAAAAATAAAAGCCTTTTTAAATTGTCCATAATTGACCTACCTTTCAGTGATTTCAAATTGCTCTAAAAAGGAAAATTCTTGTTTCCACAGGGTAATTCCACTTTAGATCAACAGTATACAGCCCCACAGTGATACCATATCAATATCAAGTCAATTTGCCTTTCAAAGTAATGGTCCATTGAAATTGTCCATGTATGACCCACTCTTTCACTGACTTCAGAATCCCATTAAAAGCAAAGTTGCTGTTTCCACAAGATCATTTCACTCTAGATTGACAGTATACAACCCCACAGTTTTATCACGTCAGTATCGGAATTATAATTGTTCATTTGGTACTTTTAATAATTAAACGCGGATGCTGTTAACAGGACAATTATTGTTTCCACTAAGTAATTGGAGTTCATGCAAACCATACACAACCTCTACAGTGGTAACATCTCAATCTCAAATCAATCTCGTTTTGCATTTCAGAGTACAAGCCTTTTGACTTTGTTTATAGGAGCTTCTCTTTCTACAACTTCAGAATGGCATTAAATGGAAAGTTCCAGCTTCTATGAATTAATACCAGTTTGTGCCAACACATATCATTGCATATAATCTAACAGTGGAGTTGGTGACCATACTTTTCGGTGACATTAGAAT